GAGAGAGAGAGAGAGAGAGAGAGAGAGAGAGAGAGAGAGAGAGTGTGTGTGTGTGTGTGTGCGAGAGAGAGAGAGAGAGAGAGAGAGAGAGAGAGAGAGAGAGAGAGAGTGTGTGTGTGTGTGTGTGCGAGAGAGAGAGAGAGAGAGAGAGAGAGAGAGAGTGAGAGATTTTTGATTTTTAACCCATACTTTTATTAAATCAATAACAAAAAAACATCAAACCATTTTCACAAAACCAATCAACACAACAAAAGACTAAAAATTAAGCCCCCCTCAAACACAGTACAAAAAACCTCATTACAACACCACTGTAATACAAAGGTGTCCAAATCCTGCATCTCTTTATAGTATTTAAACTCCACCGAGATCCTAGACCTAATAAATGCCTTAAACAACAGTACACCATCTTGGCCATGTATATTTTTAATCCTGTTTTTTCTTGAAATATAAATGGCCATTTTTGCCTGGCCGACCATAAAGTTAATCAACTGCCATTTAAGTCTTTGATTGCGGTTGAATCCTGCCCCATAAATGAAAGCCTTAGGGGTGAAACTTTCCTTAAAACCTAAAAACAATTGTTTTAATAATACCAAAAGTAATTTGAGCCTAACACATTCGAGAAAACAATGAAAAATAGTTTCTCTTAACCCACAAAAAACACAACCTTCATTAACATTGGAATTAATAATCGAAACAAAAGCATTAACAGCAACAGGCCCCTTCAGGATTCTCCATTGTAGATCTCCTGATTTTTTCATCAATGGTGGTTTGTATAAAACCCTCCAAATTGTTTTAACTTAATTTCCAATGTCAAATTTCTCCCTCCAGACATTATCACGTTTTTCACACAGTATGAACTTGTATAATATTTTAACAAAACATTTGTAGATCACTTTTCCACTTAATTCTTCTAATAATAAGTCCTGAAGCCCATTCAAGTTTAACAAAATACCAGATGTCTCTTTTAAATCTGGTGTAATCCAGTGCTCAGAAAAAGGGTCCCTCATATCAGGAAGCAAATTTCCTTCCTCAAAACGTTTAAGAATTGACAATTCCTCTGCTGTCAGTTTCTTTCTCCATAACTCCATGATTGTTGAGGTTTGTCGCATGGATTTCTTTCCCAATAAAGATGCCACAGCCACAATGTCTTTCAATTCGGATCCGGCCACTTTAATCATGTGACCAAGCTTTACAGTCAATCTCTGAGACAGATTCGGCACTTGATCCGTAATGTCCAAACGAGCCCCTTTAACTAGAGGCTCCTCCAACAACCAGAACAGAGAAGTAGCATTTTCTGGTCTTTTAATAATAAAAAATCCCCACACTTTAAACTGTTGTTCCCCAGTAACTTCAACCAACTTTTGCAAGTCAATAATCTCGGATTCAATTATTTTCATTGTGTGCGTAATATCCCTAGAGACATTGAAAGCGTACTGTTGAAATAATGCTTTAATTTCAACTTTCCCACAATCCCACCACTGTCTTAAATCAGTAAAACAATTTTTCCTTTTTTTGAAAATTTCCCAAAAATCACAAAACACATTTCTAAAATGCATATCACCCAACAAAGATTCATTAAAATGCCAATAAGAACTCTTTATTTTAACATTCGCTATAAACACCTCACATAAAACCAAACAATGATCCGAAAACCCAATTGGAATAATTAAGCACTTTTTAACAATATTAAATTGATATCTAAAACAATAAAACCTATCAAGCCTGGCCATTGAAATAACATTATCTCTGGAGTGTGCCCATGTATACTGCCTATTGTTATTGTTCAGTTCTCTCCACACATCACACAAACTGTGGGTTTCAATCAATTCACGTATTACACGACTTGAAGCAGTATGAGGTTCCAAATAGTTCCTATCAAGAGCATGATTTTCCGTGCAGTTAAAATGCCCCCTCCCCCCAACAACTACGGCGTCCTCTCACTTTATACTTCACACAATACTTATTCCTCTACAAAATTAGAGAGAGAGAGAGAGAGAGAGAGAGAGAGAGGGGGTCACTCACTGTGTCTGTCACGCGACTCTGTTCCCCTTTCGGGCTCTGTCTTTACATTTATTTTGAAAGATGAAGCTGGCGATTATGGTAAGGGGCGTTACATTTCCGACAAGTGCGTGCGGTGTTCGGCCAATCACAATGCACTGGGTCAGCTGGCCAATCAGAGCAGACTGCGCTTGTCGGAAGGAGTGACTTTGTAGAAAGCGTTTGAGAGATGCGGGGCATAAAGGACCTACAATAATGTACAGTATTTGAAAAATAATGTGTTTTTTGAACATTAAAGCATGTCAACATATTCTGTTACACCAAATACACAAAGTAATGATCTTTAAAAAAGCATCATATGCTTTAAAATAGTTTTTTGGTCCATACATTGGAAGTCATTGGTCATCAAAACTGTTTATTTATCAACATTCTTCAAAATATCTTCTTCTGTGTTCAGCAGAAGAAAGAAACTCAAACTCATTTTTGGAACAACATGAGGGCGAGTAAATGATGACAGAACTTTCATTTTTGGGTGAACTGTCCCTTTAAGGTGGATGTTTGGCTAAATAAAAATAATTTTGAGTTGCGAGAGACTACCCTTAACAGACTACACTAGACCACTGTGACATTAGAAAACAAAGGGATCCCCTGATGACATTATTGGAGTCGTCACACCCACTCCTGTACCAGCCACCGGCGTCTCTCATTATTTACTCTTTTAGTTAATAAGTAACTGACTTTACAAACTCATAAGCAGGAGTAAACACACACCCAGCTCTACATAAATCAGCAGGACAGATAGAGCTGTTGTGCTTCGCAGGATCTGCTGAGGTTTCTGCTGGTCTGGATCTGCTCTGGAATGTTCCTGAGTATCTGCTTCTCCATTAAGAGTAACTATCCATCTGCCTTTATGGATATTAATGCATAAGAGAACGCTGAAGAGAGGACACTTTTGGGTCGGAGTTGTTGCTTGCACAAGCAGAATTCCATTCTTAGCATTATGACTGCTGCAGATCATGTGTCAGTCTTTGTTCTTGGTTATCTTTAGGCACAAATGAGAGGGAGCAAGTGAGTATAGTTTGGGGTTGAGAGATGCGAGTGTGAATTTTACATTGGAAAGTGTAAATTATTAAAAAGAGGACCTAAGAACCCAAGGATTTGGCACAGAGTGTTTCCAGATGGTCTTTATTTGTTGACGTGGTCCCGAGAAAAAAGACCATCTTTCTTCTCTGAAGTCAAACAACAACAGCTGCTGAATGCAGAAAACAAGCACAAACTTTGAGAACTAAGATGAAACACATCTTCGATGGACTAAACCCCTGAAGAACGGCCTTTGAACGCCAACAACCAACCTGTAATGGAGATATTGGTGGCCATTGCATACTAAAGTAATGATTAATAATCTTATGCGGAAGTAACTTACTGATCCTTCTTCATCAACCCTCTAGTGACGCTCTTTATTTGTCGTTGTGGTCCAATTCACACTTGCAGAAGACCATCTTTCTTCTCTGAAGTCTGACCTGTGCAGCTGCTGAATGCATGAAAACAAGCACAAACTATAGGAGTTAGAAGAATCACGTCTTTGATGGACTAAACTCCAGGAAGAACGATCTTTGAAAGCCAACAACCAAATTGTAATGGAGATATTGGCGGCCATTGCATACTGTGGTAACGATTAATAATCTTATGCGGAAGTAACTTAATGTTCCTTCTTCGTCGACTCTCTGGTCACAGCGCTTACAGTCTGAAGAAGCATAAAGAATCGAGACCGACACGCATACAGACTCTTTCCCAGTACAAACAGTGGGAAACTGGAACAAACAGCAGCATAATAAAGTGTCTGCAGAGGTTACTAAAGGCCACTTGTGTGTGAGTGTGTTTTTGCACTGGAATAATGTGGCACTAGTCAGAAGAGCCAACACTCACACCCTGATAGAGGTTACACCCTGATGAACATCTGCGATAGCGTAGACGTACCTTGAAGGAGTGAGTGAATCCACAGACCCACCCTAATCAAAAATAGCAGCAGGATCTGGCAGTCTGAGCGGAGTGTCATTGATGAACTGATTGAGCCGCTGGCTGTAGTAAGAGACAGACACAGAAACATGGATTCATCACTTAGCTCTCAGGACGACTGGGAGAGCCTTATGGAGCTGGAGGAGGCTTTGGCAGGCTGGTTAATTCAGGGTTCAGACTGGGACCAGAACTGGCACTGGGGCCCGAGGGACGACCCGTACCAGGATGAGGAAATACCTGCTGTGAGTCTCCATAAAGATTCAACAAAAGAGTATTCGACTAGTTTAGGGTACACTGTCAATAATAATAGTCCAATGTACAGCATGAAAATTATGTAAATATATACAACTATTGTGTGTATATAAAGTATACAGTGTGTGTCTATATATACACACATATACTTTAAAGTTTTCAGTCAAATTTTTATATACCGGTATAATAATAATATTGTATTTTATTTATTTACTCATTTTAATTTGGCAGAAATTAGTATAAACAAATGTTGACTCTAAATTGTCAGTTCTGTCTATATATACAATGTTGATTTCATATTTTTAAGAATATAATATAATTATACATAGAGAGTGAGTACAGGTCGATAGATGGGCGTGTGAACTGTAGATGATAAGAAGGACGTGATAAGGAATTATATATTATATTATATTATTTAGCTGATCAATTCTGTTTTGAAAATAAGAAAATAACGTGAACGTATATTATAAGCATGACAATTTATAAAAGGATGTGTATAACACACACAAAACACACTTTTAAGTCAAATTGTTATGCTTATTTATATATTTATTTTATTTGCTCATTCTAATATTGTAGAAATTTGTAAAAAAAAAAAAAAAAACAACATTAAATGTCAACAGTGTCAGTACTGTCTATATATGTAATGTTACTCTTGTTGTTGTTTTCTCACGTCTATGGCAACAGTGTATCATGTTCAATTTTGCATGTAAGGAATCACCATTTTACATGGTTGATCTCAAGACACCTTATCAATGTTGAAGTAATTGTCTTGTCTTTTCTCAGAGCATTTTGTCTTTAAAGGCTGTTTACGCTCCACTGCCAGGTGTACGTTCGCTTATTAGCAGGAGTGGAGACTGCGCTGGTGAATGAGAAGCAGTGTGACTCCACAGTGGGAATGAACTCGTTGTGGTTCATCTCACGCTGCTGCATGGCAAAACTAAAGCAGCATTTGCCTGATGATCAGCTGTGCGAGAGTGGAATGGAATGGCTGTTTGTTCTGCGTGTGTGAGTGTGTGTGTGTGTGTGTGTGTGTGTGTGTTCCTCATCTACAGCTTTATGTGTTTTGTAGGTCCTCAGTCCCACATACAAGCAGCGTAATGAAGACTTCAGGAAGCTCTTCAAGCAGTTGCCGGACACAGAGCGTCTTATTGTGGGTAAGAGCTCTCATGTACTGAGTGTATTTATGAGCAAATGAAAAACGTAAAGAATTTAGACTTAGTATTTGTTATAAGAGAAAGATTTAGCATATGTTGGTCTAATTGAAAGTCATTGTTTTTCTGGTTTAAACCCATTTTGTTCACTTTGTTTAATAGCAAATAACACTCTCTGTAGACTGTGCACTTAAAGCACGTTACATTGTGGGGGGGGGGGTCTCCTGGAGAACTAGGTGGACGTAAACTAAAATATTAGAAAACAAAATTCTTCAATTGAATGTTGTAACAGTAGGGGCATCTTTTGACCTTTGACCTCGTCCTGTCATTGGCAGACTACTCATGCGCTCTCCAGCGGGACATTCTCCTGCAGGGCCGCCTCTACCTCTCCGAAAACTGGATCTGTTTTTACAGCAACATCTTTCGCTGGGAGACACTGGTAGGATTTACTGTAACTCAAACTTTTGGAGCTACAGCCTGAGATTGGAGAAGAGTTGAGTTGAGTTGTTGTGTTTCATGCGTGTGCAGCTTACAGTGCGGCTGAAAGACATCTGCTACATGACGAAAGAGAAAACCGCGCGTCTGATTCCCAATGCCATACAGGTGTGCACAGACACTGAGAAGGTGAGAGTCTTTCAGACAGTACAGCATATTTACACATACAGTAAGATGTTTCTTGGTGTTCATCACTTGCTATCCCTGCTTTTCTCTTCCCTTCAGCACTTTTTCACATCGTTTGGTGCGAGAGACAGGACCTACATGATGATGTTTAGACTTTGGCAGAATGCACTGCTGGACAAGGTGAGAATATGAACACATTAGTGATGTCAAAAGTTTGATACCAAGTTGATACTAAAATTGAAAAAAATGAAGTGGCCAATCAGAGAAGTTAAAGCCTCATTCACACCAAGAAAAATAACTATATTAGCATCCACAACAACACATTATTATAAGTGCACACTGAGATTTTGTCGACTGCTGCCTTAAATGCTCAAAGTCTAAAGGGTTATTTCACCCAAAAATGAAAATTAGCCCATAAATTACTCCCCCTCAAGGCATCCTAGGTGTATATGACTTCCTTCTTTCAGACGAATCCAGTCGAAGTTATATTAAAAATGGACTTTGATCTTTCAAGCTGTTTAATGGCACTCAGCGGGTGTTGATAAAGAATATCTCTTTGGGTTTGAGACTTTAGTCTTTGCAACTTTAGGGATCTTATCTATTCACGAACAGCTTGTAACACTCCAAAGAAAAGGGAAAACTTGAAATTGAATCATGTGACGCCTTTAAGAGATGCTGTTTAAAATAGTGCCCTCTGCTGGGGTCAGTTTGACATTGCAGCTGAGGAGTACACAGACTGCCTTCCTGATGGAGATCTGCTGCAGCTCCCTCTGCTGGCTGAGGAGAGGAACAGCGAGCCGGCCAGTCCTCTGGATCCTGCGCCACCACTGGCACTGGACTTCAATGACAATGAGGATATACCCACTGATCTCAGTGATTCCTCAGTGACAGATGATGAAGGTTTGAAAAAAAAAACTCTTGTATATGTTTAAACCGATGTTTTAAACTTTAAATTGCTTTTTATCAAAAAAGGGAAAAAAGCATTATTTTTATATAATTAAAATATAACAATTAAAAATAAAGTTATTTAAATAATAATTAAATAAATAAAGTATTGCTTTATTAAAGTAAAATTTATTTAATAATTAAAATGTAATTAAAATATGTGTTTATTTTATTTTAATTATATTATATAATATAATTTAAATAAAATTAAATAAATAAATATTGCAATATGAAGTGAACACTTTCACATTTTCAAAACCAATATAAACATTTCCACAGTTTGGAAGCAGCACAAAGCAATATTGATGTTTATCGATTTAATCAATTAATTTTGTTATAACTTACTACATGTAGATGGATATTCTGTCTTATTATGAAAATCTCATTTGAATAGGGAACAGTGTGAGACTCTACATATACAGTATTTTGATGCCAATACTTGAGCAGTGCTGTACAGTTCATCTTTAAGTTTGAATGTTTATTTAGGCGATGAGGTTCAAGCATTCCACGAGGATCTGAACGGCCGTCAGTACATCAACGAGGTGTATAAATTCGGTGTTGATAAGCTGTACACCATTCTCTTCACTGAGTCCCAGTTCATGACAGACTTTATGGATCAGAGGAGATTCACAGGTCAGAACACTTCGAAAACAGACGGAACTTTACATGAATAATAAAAATAAACTCTAATAGAATTATCAAGAGATTTATTTATCTGTAATGTCCAGCTCACTGTATATTATACTGCTCATTACAGAGTTACTTGCCAAATAATTCAGTATTTGAATTCGAGTTTAAATTACTTTTTTTTATTATATCTATTATTGTATATTTATTCATTTTTATTTTAGCTTATTTTTACCTATTACCTACAATGGTCTAAATCTAGCTAAAACTAAATAAGTGTATATATATATATATTTTTTTTTTTTTTGTTAACTATAATAACTGTGCTTCTGATATGTCTGCTTTGGTTTTGCACATCTATTCACAGATGTGGTGTATCAGCCTTGGAAGAAGGAAGATGCTGGAAATCAGACCAGGGTGATCATGTACACAATTTCCCTGACCAACCCACTGGCTCCTAAAACAGCTACAGTTACTGAGACTCAGGTGAGACGTTCATCTGGACTGGAATTCTCCTCAGCACTGTTTTTTGTGTGTGTGTGTGTGTGTGTGTCTGTGTGTTTTATTTATTTATTTATTTGTTTCATTGCAACCTCTCTGAACTAGACTCTGTATAAGGCCAGCCAGGAGAGTGAGTGCTACATCATCGATGCAGAAGTCATCACTCATGACGTGCCGTACCATGACTACTTCTACACCCTAAACCGTTACATGCTCACACGCGTGGCCAAGAACAAGTGTCGGCTGAGGTATGAATGAACAGGACAGTAGTTTTTCAAGGCCAAACAGAGAGAGGCAGGTGTGGATTGACAATAATGTGATTAATTCGTCCTTCAGGGTTTCTACTGAGTTGAGGTACAGGAAACAGCCATGGGGGCTGGTGAAGGGCTTCATTGAGAAGAACTTCTGGAGTGGGCTAGATGAGAACTTCAAAAGCCTTGGTAAGACGGTTTCAATGTCCATCCATTATGAACTCACCTACAGCCATCCTGAGTTTCACTCACAACCACCCAAAACCACCTTGAGCCCCAACTGCAACTTTCTCTACTGCCTCAACCATCTTAAGAGCCATCCACAACACTAATGATTTCCACCCAAAACAAGAGTTTCACCCACAACAATATCAATCTCCACCCAAAACAAAAATTGAACCCCACCCACAATAATATTGAGTCATGCCCACAACAGCATCGAGCTCCATCCACAACAATATCGATTCCCACCCACGACCATCTTGAGTACCGCCCACATCTATCTTCTACTTCACTCCACATTTTCCAGCAATCACTCCAACCACAACAATATGGAGCCCCACCCACAACAAAATTGAATTCTGCACACAACATCAAGTCCCAGCCACAATATTGAGCCCCACATACAATATTAAACTCCACCCACAACCATATTGAGCTCCATCCACAACATTGAGTTCCACCCACAACAATATCAAGCCTCACCCACAATAATATTGTAGCTCTGCCTACAACAACATCGAGCTTCACCCATAGCAATATCAATATTGAGCCCTACCCAAACAATATTGACCCCCAAACACAATAAATATTGTAGCTCCATCCACAACAACATTGAGCTCCAGCCACAACTATATTGATCACAACCCACAACAATAAAGAGTTCCACCCTCAGCTCTGCCCACAACTATATTGAGTCCCACCTACAACAATATAAATTCCCATCCATTACAACATTAAGCCCCACCCAGAACAATAACAATTCACACCCACAACCATCTTGAGCACCACCCACAATTTTCTTCTGCTTGACTCCACGTTTTGCATTAATATTAGTCCTTCTGTTGTGATGAATTATTTGTCACCACTAAAAAAAGTTGTTTTATCAGAACTGGAGTTAGCAAAGATGGAGGACGCTCTAATGGAAAGCCACAGACTGTCTCCTAATGCTAAAGCAGTGAAGAACTCCACCCTAAGACGGAGAAAACGACCCCCCGCCCACCTGCGCACAACCCATCTAGATGAGGCCCTCAGTCCTGTTACCACACCAACAGACGAGGAGGTCATCCACCGCATCAAACACGTGGCAGGTGAGTTCATGCACATTCAAATGTTTTCAAATACAAAAGATACTAGGTTTAAATTTTTTAAGACTGGTTGCATTTTCATGCACTCTGCCCACAGGTTCCACTCAGACAAGACACTTTCTTGAGCACACGCCAGGGGGCGGGATTTTCTGCAACCTCTCTAAACCACTCCTCATCATCAGCTTTGTGTAAGTAGTACTGTCTCTTTTAATTAGTGCTATTACTTTTTAAATGTTTTTATAAATATGACTTAGTGAATTTTTTCTTTTCTTTTTTTTTTTTGGTTTTGCCTCTTGTGGTTGGCCTTAGGATCTGTATAAGGTACAGTCCTTTACTGATGTCAAATATATATCCATTCTGAAAATCCCACATCTATCCTGCCATTCTAGTCCATTTTCTCAGTGCCCCTCTATCAGCCTTATGTTGCGCTTCATTCAACGCAACAAGTCCAAATTTCCAAATTCCTACTTGAATAAAGTCTGTTTCTGTGGACAATAGTAGGAATAGCTCATATGTCTGTGTAGCACATTTCCTTCCTCATCTAACATGCGATCACGTTCACTCTACTAATCACAGGTCCAGCGTTTTTTCTTCACTGAATGTGTCCATGTGCTCTGTTTTCTGTTTGTTGTCTCTCTGCAGTCTGGTGCTACTGGTGTTTTTGAATGTGATGCTGTTCTATAAACTCTGGATGCTGGAGTATTCTGCACAAAGCCTCACCAGCTTGCAGGGCTTACGCCTACATGAAAGGTACAAAACGTGCTACAACTTCTTCACACCTACAACAATATTGAGCCAAGACCCACCCACCAACATCAAGACCCATCCACAATGGTATTAAACTCCATCCACAGCAATATCAATCTCCACCATCAATAATGTCGGGTCACACCCACATTTGTCATCTCCTTCCACAACACCAAGACCCACCACAATTATATTGACCTCCACCCACAGCAATATTAAGCTCTACCCACAACAATGTTGAGTAACAATTACAGCAACATTGAGCCACGCCAACAATTGTGAGCTCGTCCCATAACATTAATACCCCCCCAACAGCAATAGTAAGCCCCACCCACAACAATGTCGAGTCACACTTACAGCAGTATTGAGCCACGCCCACAATTTGAGCTCCTCCCACAAAACCAAGACCCACCCACAATGGTATTGAGCTCCACCCACAACAATGTCAAATCACACCTACAACAATATTGAGCCATGACCATATTTATGAGCTCCTCCCATAACACTTATAGCCATGCACAATAATATTAAGCTTCACCCACAACAATGTTGAGTCACACTTACAGCAATATTGAGCCACGCCCACAGTTGTGAGTTCCTCCCACAACATCAAGACCCACTCACTATAGGTGTGTTCGACTTGAAATGACACTGCGCAGATTGATCAAAGTACAGCTTTCGGAGCTCTCTATAGCTCCCCACCTACAATATTATTAAACTCCACCTACAACAATAACAGGCCACAACCAACATTAACAACAATTATTGAGTCATGCCCACAATAATTCAGAGTCACACAAGTCACACCCACATAAAGAGCTCCACCCACAGCGATATCAAACCCCACCCACAATATTAAACTCCACCTACAACAATAACAGGCCACAACCAACATTAACAACAATTATTGAGTCATGCCCACAATAATTCAGAGTCACACAAGTCACACCCACATAAAGAGCTCCACCCACAGCAATATCAAACCCCACCCAAAATATTAAACTCCACCTACAACAATAACAAGCCACAACCAACATTAACAACAATTATTGAGTCATGCCCACAATAATTTAGTCCCACAATTCACACCCAAATAAAGAGCTCCACCCACAGCAATATCAAACCCCACCCACAATATTATTAAACTCCACCTACAACAATAACAAGCCACACCCAACAATAATAACAATACTGAGTCATGCCCACAATAATTCAGTCACACAAGACACCCACAGTTGTGATCTCCTCCTGAAAACCAAGACAACAATAAAGAGCTCCACCCACAACACCAAGACCCATCCGCAATAAGATCATGTTCTACCTACAACAACATTTAGTCCCGCCCATAGTTGTAAGCCCCTCCCACAACATCAAGACCCAATCACAATATTTTTGAGCTCCACCCACAGCAATAAGCAGCAATCAAGCCCCACCCACAGTTGTGAGCTCCTCCCACAACATCCCAAGAACAATCCCAAGCACATGCACAGATGTTTGGACTGCACTCAACCCTCCTGATTTTGAAATTTATTATAAGTGTTTATACATACCTAAACTCAATTGACAGACCTGTGTAGATCACTTAGTGGTGATGTTTTTGTTACCATGCATTTTAGCAGTAAACTGCCATCTACACAGATGGAATGGGCACAGCTCCTGGAGTCCCAGCAGCGCTACCACGACGCGGAGCTGCAGAAATGGAGAGAGATTGTCAAATCTTCGGTACTGTTATTGGATCAGGTATATAATATGTTCGCATACACACAGAAGCGATTTGATTAAGCTTGATTGTAAAATGACCGCATATGTGTCTTCACATAGATGAAGGATTCCTTACTGAGCCTACAGAAAGGTGTGGGTCTACAAGATTACAACTCAGACTCGGACGAGAAGAGAAGTCGATATCACTGACACTTACCGTCCAGGCCACCAGGGCGCGCTGTGCAATGTAGAGCCACTTATGAAAACAAAAGGCAAAAAACAAAGGGCCCAAATGTGCGTGTATGACTATGCATACCAAACAAAAGAGACACTTGATAGAGACCAGAAGAAGAAGAGATGGACCAGAAACTGCCATCGGCCAATCCTAGTGGACAGCAAACCCACAGGAAGTGGGGCCATATCTGTCCCATGGAATTGTGGGACAGTTAGAGTCCGAATGGGCTCATCACTGTTCCTGCTTTCTTTCAGGTTCTCTTTCTGAGGATGTTACTGTTTGCAGAGGAACGTAACGGACCTGAGGAGGAAAATGAAGAGCATGCTTTTTTTTTTTTTTTTTTTTACCCTTCTCAGCCCTCCTTTCTTTTGAAGTGTTTTTATTGGTACAAAAAGGAATCTTTTAGCTTGGTTTTGACCTGTAACGGCACAGCTGCAATGTCCCTTTTCCCATTTGTGAGAGCTTTTCTGCAGGAAGCATTATGTAATCTAGTTCACTCGTGCTGTAGTATCAGGGCTGGTTTCCTTGATAATCCTGCACTAGAAAGTTTAAATAGTTTCCGCCAAAGGGCCATTTGCGCTAAAAACAGAGACCTTAAATTTCTGTGAAGCGTTGACCATTATGCTAAAGTGCTTTTGCACCAGAGAAAGATTATGAAAAGGGACACCGCAGCCAGGAAGATGGATAAAGTTCTTAGTTTTTGATTACTAAACTGTGATATCTCCTGATTCATTTGAAGATGTAGGAAAATATATGAATATGTTTGAAGTATATACTTTATTCAAGATTTAATATATATTTCAATATAGAGAGAGGTTGTTGCATATATTTATTGTTAATTTATGTACATAGAACACTTATCAAAGCTCTAGAAGGAAAGAGTTTATAATTATTAAACTGCGTTTTATTCGGCGACACGCACAAGCACGTTTGAGACGTGTCCGTGTGAGCGCATGCGTGTGTCGTTGATCTGTGTCTATTTTGGTGAATGTAAGCGTGTCCGTGTGACGTTTTAAATCATTCCACTTGTACGTCTTGTGTCTTCCTCCCGGCACATGAAGCCAAACTGCCTTTTTCTTGCCCAGCAGCTCAGTCCACTGGGTATCTGTTTACACATCCACCTGGCTTCAGAAAGCTGAGCGGTCTAAAAATGACCATCTCGGTTCGGCCTGAACCCACACACACACACACACACACACACACGCTTTCACTGCTGTGGCATCATTCCTGTTATTATTTTGTCTGAGGTGAGAGTTTGGACCAGGAGGCACTGCAGGAAACAGCACTGGACTCACTAACTTCGTGTTTTAATTTAACCGATAGCCCATATTTTGTCATTTTAAATCAGTCAAATAAAAGAAAAGTTATGTGAGGTGGTAATGATATTTTTTTGATTTTATTTTTTATAGAGCACAAGTGCTCTAGCCTAAACCAAATATAGTATTTATAGATGGTAGAATTTATTTATATATAACATAAAATGCAACGACTCCCTTTTTATGCAGACTGAGGTCAATGTAAAAAAATCTCATGTGAGACGACATGAAGAGAAGCGGCACTTTACATCCAGGCGTTAAAGACAGAAAGCCTGATGTATGAAATATATGTTTGCTGGTAGCACATATGATAATATTCCAGCTACAAAACCCATGGTATTGAATGTATGTAAGATGTTTTTCCCAGAAAAGACTCTGCTGTAATGTGGTTTGAATCATGAATCGTGTTCCACAGTCAAGCAGTTTAGCTGGACTTTAGTGTTGCTCTGAGCAGTGTTTGAAGCCGGCATTATATTCCAGAACGCAGTTGAACTACTGAGACCCAGTTTCACTGGTCAGAATCTTCCCTCAGTTATAATTATTTTATTTTGGCATTAGAGTGCATCGGTATAGGTTGTTTGGTGTGTATTCTGCAATATGGATTTGATCGCTCTTTTTTCCACTATGTGTGTTTAGAGAAAAGATGAATTGGTTGCTCATGGTTTGGTATTTTGGAACTGAAAGTGAAAAAGCAAATGAAATCACTGTCACAATCATGTTCACTGTACTGTACGTGTATAAGTGTGTGTGAATGCATTTTACGTTTTTTTTTTCTTTGTGGACCACATTTTCTTCTGCTATACACGAGTAAACATTACTGACTCCAACAGAGCAAAAAGTTATAATTAACCTTCAGCCTGATTGTTTTGCTCATATGCAGCGACTTCTCGTGATGTATCTGACCAAAGATTTGAGTTTGCATTTTGCAACTGAAAAATATGTTGTCACTATGAGATTTGGCTATTGAAATTATCCTGGGCATTTGTGATCAAGTATTCAGGCAAAGAAAAGATTATTCTAAATTATATTTCAAATGTTCATATCATACTCCGTGCATTAGACTCTGTACCTGTGCTGTAGTTCCATGATCAAAATTACAACAAACTGTCTCACAAATCAACTGTTTTATTTTCTTGAAAGTGTGCTGATTGATTTCTGCTGATGTCCATTTTTGGCATCCTTTAACTTAACTGGTGTAGCAATGATTTACTGTATTTTCTTCTTCTTATTCTTCTTTTTAGAGCTGTTTTTATCTCTAGACCAGAATGATTTGTACATGTTTCCATATGCACTGTATGTATCAGACAATATGTGCAGTGTTCACAGAAACTGGAAGCAGAGCTGTGCTGTGCACAGTTTTCCATTCTGCCAACAACTTTGTCTAATATAGACTCTGATTCAGTGGCTCTCTGATCTATGTGAAGTAGACAGATTACAAATAATAATAATAAAACAACACTGGGAAAATATATATTTTTTTATATTATTTTTTATTTTGAATGATTTACCATACCCTTTCTCAAATACACAGTGTTGCAAGTTACAATGATTTCGCAGTATGCTAATATCCAGTGTTGGGGAAAGTTACTTTTAAAAGTAATGCATTACAATATTGCGTTACTCCATAAAAAAGTAACTAATTACGTTACTTAGTTACTTTTTATGGAAAGTAATGCGTTACGCTACTTGTGCGTTACTTTTTAAATCTGGACAGGTCTTGTTTGTTTGTTTTTAAAATAAAAAAGTTATATTTTTGGCAAATATACAAGCCTTCTCACACCAAAAGTGAAATGAATGCGCCTCAGGCTGAAGGGAAAGTAAATGTACGTCCGTACAGTAGAGAGCAGAAGAAGACATTTCAACACACTTCAGCAATAAACAAAGACACACAAATGTTTGTCTAGAGTAGTTTGTGCTTATTAGTACGCTTGAACTGGATCATCGAAGCTCAGAAGCAAAGACATTGGTTAATAGAATGGGATTAAATACATAAAGCATATTTGTGTTGTTTAACGTTTAACTATTGCAGGTTTGCGTCATATTCTGAGTTGCATCTTTTTAATTCATTTTGAGGAATACTGAATCTGTTTTTGTTTTTTTTTGTGTGCAAGATGAATTAATGCATATTCATATTTGTTTTAGAACTACAGTAACATCTGATTTCTCTCAGCATGGGGACAGGAGAGCTGTCAGTCAATAAATTAGAAAAAAAAGTAACTTGCGTTACTTATTTGAAAAAGTAACTCTCTTGTAAATTAAAAAGTACTGCGTTACTTTACTTTATCTGATTACGTAACTCGCGTTACTTTTAATGCGTTACCCCCAACACTGCTAATATCACAGGCAATTGCATTATGCTTTTGGGAGTTTGCCAGAAGCCGAGTAAATGCATTTAACACCTCATTAAAAATAAATCTCAATATTTTCCATACAACAGAGAACTATCACGCTAATGTGCACAAGCATGTCTAGCCACTAGATAGAGATATAACCCAGTTCTTGAATTACGTGATCTCAAGATGCATCCATATATCCAGAAATGTAGCAATCATCCAGCTTGCATCAGCCTTGAGTTTGAAATCGATTAAATACAGATTTGTTTTGATGAAATACCAATATTAGACAAACGCGGTGAATGTTGAGAAAATCATATTCACGTACAAAAAAATAGGCTATATAAATTCTATAAAATGAACCTTCCTTTAATCGAATTTTCAGTCACTTTTCGAAAATACCGTGGTGGAGATAAATGATAGTTCCAGTTCCCTGCAAAAAGACGAGCCTGTGTCGTAACCAAGTATTCATTAATTATCCTAATTAAGTCGCCCACGCAGAAATTGTAGTGTCTTGCATGCAAATTAATATTCTCGGCGTCTAATGCGCATTTATCCAGCGCACTAAGACTCGACTTGGTCTGCATGCAAATGAAGCTGTGGGGGACTGACCAATAAGTGTATGGGAAATCCTCAGGAGGGCGGGGACTGAGAGCTTCCAACCAATCACAGCGGACAGGGCTGAATATTCTAATAAGCAGGGAACACCTCAATGTACAGCAACTTGAAGGGAAGATTCAAACCTGAGATGCTCAAACATTATAGTGCGACCGCAGTAACAGAGACGCGTTAACACTCAAGCTAAATGGGAATTTAACGTGAGAGCGTCCACGGTTGAAGCAGAAGCAGGCTGACGCAGATCATATTGAAAGATTGATTGCTTTTGTTCTGCTGGGAAGGGTGAGGAGCATCCTGCTGGACCTCGGGGTTCCTCCGAAGATGGAAGAAGAGCGCAGTGTGGCGTGGCTGTGTGAGCTGGAGATGCTGAAGCAGCGGCAGGAGAGTCTGGTCCTCGGTGCCCTGTCGCTCGGGGACTCCGTGCCGGGGTGGCCCGCTTGGGGTGATGTGGGTCCGGCCCGCAGCAGCAGAGAGCAGGAGCAGCTCACTTTAAGACGACAGCTGGTAGGAGGCGACATGATGAAAACCATCCTTTAGAAATTCCCTCCAGCGGTTCACTGACGCTTTACGGAGGTGTGGATATCCGGAAAGTGTTGTGGAAAGTTTAGAAATGTAGTGCCAGTCAGTACTGTCACTATTAGTCAAGAGCGCACAAAAACAACAAGCTTGTTTAAAATGTACTTTTCGGTGTTACATAATTGGCACGTGTCGATATGGGTTTTATAACATCAATATGCCGTTATAATGGCATTAACAGAAGCATTTATGTAGTTAAAGTATAGTTAATTGCAATTTCCTTTCACAGCAAGTGCGTGTTTTATGGTTTTGTCTGCTGTGATTGGTGTGCTCTTGGAAAAGGGGCGGGGCCTGCGGACATTTAACTATCCATTGTTCGCTTCACGTGGATTTGCCAATTCCTGCTTTTTCTAACGAAATATCAAGCCTTTCATTTCTTTTTAGCGTTATTATTACAGTTAGCTTAAAATAAAGTCTTGATGAACACTATGTGATATTTATAAATAAAATTTACTTTTATTATTATTATTTAGTTTTTTAAACTCCTTATTCGGTGTACTATATAAGTAGCTGGGAAGGCATAGCATAGTGTTTATTAAATTAATACAGTATTTATAAACTAACAGAGCGCATAGTCCCTCCTGTCCTTTCATTACCTGTGATATTAGCAGTTTTGGGGGTAACGCATTACAAGTAACGCGAGTTACGTAATCAGATTACTTTTTTCAAGTAACTAGTAAAGTAACGCATTACTTTTTAATTTACCAGAAAATATCTGAGTTACTTTTTCAAATAAGTAACGCTAGTTACTTCCCCCCACGCCCTACTCTCTTGCCCCCATATTGAGAGAAATCGGGAGTAAGATGTTACTTTAGTTCTAGAATAAATGTGAACATGCATTAATTCATCTCACTCACTCACTCAAAAAAAAAAGGATCAGATTTAGTTTTCCTCATAATAAATAAAAACAGTTAAACGCAACTCAGAATATGACTCAAAGCTGCAATAATTAAATGTGTTAAATAATACAAATATCCTTTATGTATTTAATCCCATTTTATTAACCAATTTGCTGCTGACCTTCAGTGATCCAATTCAACCATACTAATAAGCAAAAATTCCACAAGATAAACTAACATTTATTCTTTTTTTTATTGCTAAAGAGTGTTGAACTTTCTTCTTCTGTGTTCTACTGTACGGACGAGAATTTACATTTCCTTCAGCCCGAGGCTTTTGGTGTGAAAGGGCTTTTACATTTGCCAAAAATAGAACTTTTTATATTAAAAGCAAACAAGCAAACCCAGCCCAGATTTAAAAAGTAACGCAAAAGTAACGTAACGCATTACTTTCAATAAAAAGTAACCAAGTACCGTAATTAGTTACTTTTTTAGGAAGTAAGGCAATATTGTAATGCATTACTTTTAAAAGTAACTCTCCCCAACACTGTCCATCAGTATGTCTGCCTCCAGGGTCGGGACCTCACTCTAACTCAGTTTTCAATAAAGGCGGTGAGAGAAATCAAATGAGCTGCGGTCATCTCTTTCCCCAAGAGTTCCTCCCCCCATAGATGGATCAGACAAAAGGCGCATGGAGCAGAATATTTATGAGTAGACTCTCGCGGGACGGGCGAGACACATCACCCAAATGAGCTGTCAGCGGCCTCCGGAAAACATTCTTCAATCCGCCCGACTGACCGACGAGAGTTTCGCTCAGCAAAGCACCATTCATTTAGCCTTT